CGGACTAGTGAATCAAATTTCTAGTTCCGTACTAGGTCTTTATCGCCAAAAAGGAGCTAGTCCGATAGGAACTAGATCCATACCAGTCGAAAATCGACGAAAAGTGGTACTTTTAAAAGACTAATTTTTTCAGTTTTTTCACTAGAAATCTATATCTAAAGTGGCGAATTTAGAAATGGTTCGGAACTGTAGAAAAAGGGATGCAGAACGAACTAGATCTTATTTGTGGAATTTAGAACCAGGTCGGAACTATCGAATAAGGGGTGCAGCGGGGGCTTGTTTACTTTACATAGATATGTGTTCGGCGGCTTTTTCGTTCAAATACGCTTCTATTCTGTGCTTCGCAGATGCTTTTTCATAGCTTGGTAATACAAAACTAAAATTTGTGTTAACATTTCAACTTCTTGGGACCGTCTGGAATCTAAGAAATAACAGCGAGCACCTCTGCAAACTCAGCTACAGCTAAAGGTATGTAAACGTACATTTCTTACAATCATTCAAACAAATTTAATTTCAAATTGAAAACACATTTCTTCCAAAACAGCTTAAAATCGCACACACGGAAGAACCAAAAAGATTGAAAAATCATGATACATTTTTCTTTCGTCTCGATTTTAGAACTGGTTCGGAAATATAAAATTTAGGACTTGTTCGGAACTATCGAAAAAGGGATGCAGCGGGGGGCAATTGACACTTCCTAGGACATCGCCATGTTAAATTTGCCAGTTGCTTGCATGCAAAAGAGATTTATCGCGAACCAGTACTGGGTCTAAATGTACTAGAAGCGCACCAGTTCAGAACTAGAAATTTTCCCCACAGGGAATTGGTAGAACAGTTACCGATATACATATATGTGATCATAAATGGGCGGTGCCACGCCCATTTTCCAAAATTTTACCATAAACGTATTTCTTGGTAAAGAATTGTTGCAAGCATCAATTTTGAATAAATTAGCTTCAATATTTACTGATTTATCGAAGATTTTGTATTTCTCTAAATTACCGTTATATGGGATGTGGGCGTGGTTATTGTCCGATTTTAAAAAGTTTCGGCGGTTTTTTATGCTGTACCAAGGCCAACAACTGTGCCAAGTTTGGAAGAAATTGGTGCAGCGGTTACCAAGATATACACATGTAACCATAAGTGGGCGTGGCTACGCCCATTTTCCAAAAATTTATAATATTCTTATTTTTCGTCTAAAAGTTATTGTAAATATCAATTTTGAGTGAATTATCTTCAGTAGTTACTAAAATATCGCAGTTTTCGTATTTCTGGAAATTACCGTTATATGGGAAGTGGGCGTGGTTACAGTCCGATTTCGCCTATTTTCAATACCAACCTACCTTGGATTAACGAAAACCTACATACCAAATTTCGTTGAGATATCTCAATTTTTGCTCGAGTTATCGTGTACACGGACGGACGGACAGACGGACGGCCAGACAGACATGGCTTAATCGATTTCTCTATTCATTCTGAGCATTTATGTATACATTTGTCTATATCTATCTCAATTCGTTTTGGCTGTTACAAACAACCGTTATGTGAACAAAATTAATATACCTTTGTGCACAAGTGCGCTCGGGTATAAAAAATCCAAATCGGAGGCAATACACCAAGTGGATAATAAATTACCAAATGGACTACCTATTGCAACTGTTAAAGTGATCAGCAGTTTCAAACACTGCAAGTTTTTGCAAATTTTGCCATCTCGTTATTTTGTCTCTTTGACAGAGTATGCTCAGAATTTGTTCTGCTGGATAATTTTGTCGGGAGAAAACGAAAACACTTACACCCGTTCAATATCAAAAAATTTATACGAACTTTTACCACTTTACTTGCAAGTTTTTATTGGAAATTCGTTTAATAAAAATTTTTAAGAAGGCGAATTTGAGAGCGTAACAACCCGATAGAGCTGCAATTTGTTGCAAGTACAAATATTACTAGCAGCAATTGATAGGTCTTAAAAAAGCGGTCATGTGTCCATTTCAAATGTAAACAATGCGTTTAAGAGGAAGATTTGATGAAAAAATGCTAAAAAAAATTAGTGAAATGAAATAAAATAATTGAAATTTAAATAGATTTTTTTTGTTTTGATGATGATGCAAAATATTTCCAACCAAAAGGAAAATTACGCGGCCAAAACTTAACCATCAGATGGTCAAAATGCCGTAAGTTCCACCTTAATAATAGTTTTGCATGTAATAATTTTTTCTGATAATTTTCTTTTCCTCTAAATTTTACTCTCTGTTTCTTTACGTTCTAGTTGCAAGTACTTACTGGAAAAGTTTATGAGCAGCAACTGTTTGCTGATTTTAGCAAGGCTTTCGTTTTTAATAAATACCACGTATGTATTTACTTGTATGACGAAGAAAAAGGTGACTACTTTTATCCACAAAAATTCAAATTTCCAAGTATGCAGAGTATGGTATTTCGAAATAATTGTAATGCAGTGCAGTATTTTGACAAAATTGTACCAAAAATGTCGATGTAGTACCAATGTACTTTTGTGGTCCAAAATGTATCAAAAAAGTACAATTGTACCATTAATTTCATCCCTGGGCCAGACTGGTGGCGTTTTTGGCAGTCTCATCTGCTATTTAAATACCCTAGATTCCCGTGTGATCGGGCACCCAATAGATACGACGCTTATGGATGAAATACTATATGAGGAAACTGCCTTAATTGGCGCCTGTATAGGTTTAATTTTGAATTGATTATCATTTCGGTGTAGGCTAGCTCTGAAGCTATCCTCATTGCGAAACAATCTGCTTGAAATATGCTGCAATGGTCAGGTAGCCTTACTGCGCGCCTGACGTTCAGTTCCCGGCATTAAATCCCGGCACCCACTCCCAAAACCATCCCTCCTCCTGAATCGTTGTGCAAAAAGTTCGTTTCCACTTAAAGCTAGGTGCCATGAAGACTGTGCTGCTTGTGCTTCCCGCCCCAATTAAACTGTGCCTAAAGGTTTTGAAATTTAATTTCTGTATGGCCATCAACCTACGTGCGGATTTCGCTGCACGGTTTTTCGCAAATCGGCCAATGGGCGGTAAACTGAGAATTTTTTAAAGAGCAGCCGTTGAAGTGCAGCTCGGCGCTCCCGCGATGCACAGTGCCGCGAGGCGCTGAACCTTATCCATTGGCCCGAGGCATATGGACTTTTTTGCGACATTCCAGCACACCAAAACGCTATAAAGAAGTATTGGTCTGACTATTGCTGTGTGCAGGTGGCAGACCCCAAGTGACTAGCAGCATTCTTTTACACTCTTCCTTCAACATTGCGCATCCACAACAGCTTATTATCCACGACCATGGGCGTACCCAGAGCATAATTTAGTAATTTAGTATATAATAGATTTTTTATGTAAATTTTATTAGAAATGTTAAAACATATCTACTAAAAATTTAACATAATTTACCGAATTAATTTTTCTCTTTTTAACCGACCTCAAAAAAGGAGGAGGTTATCAATCCATCAGATTTTTTTTATGTATGTTACCGCATAACTTTGGAGCACATTAACCGATTTCGATAATAATTTTTGTGATGCCTCAGGGGAGGTCCCATACTAATTTGATTTAGATCCGATCATTGAATCATGAAGAAATTAACGGTGCTTCTAAATTTTTATATAAGAATTGAAGTCGGTTGTGTTTTTTGCATAAAAATTATTGGTTATCGTAACAATTGAGTTGTACCGAGTCCTACAAAGCAATTTATATTGCATAAAGTTTATTATGAACTTATTGAAGAGTTAAAATACAAATTTGTTAGTTACGTTAATTGCATACAAATTTTAAAATGCGACTTCGTCTTTACACCAAAATCGTAATTTTTTCATTATTTTTAACCGACTTCAAAAAAAGGAGGAGGTTATCTAT